CCTCGTGCACTTGTAACATTTAACTTTCGTTGGACCGCTCTGGTTGTTGTGTGTGTGTGTGTGTGTGTGTGTGTGTGTGTCGTGGTGGTGGTTGTGGTTGTGGTCCAGGCATAAAAGCACAATATTCTGAGGACTTCCTAAAGAGAGCCTTGCGCATTCTGAAAGCAAGGTGATGTGTAGAGAGGAGACACACTCATCTTTGTAGAGACCAGACGCTTTTCACAAATTAGCACAAAAGGAAAAAAAAAAAGGAAAGGCCAAGTTCAGAAATAAAGAACCCTCCCCATATATATACTTATTGTCAGTCTATATTCCAGGCGCCCCCACCCAAGAAAAATGAACTTTGGAATTGTTCACATCTGTTCAACTGTAAATTAAATAGCACAGATGTAGCTGCCTTTATCCACTTCCTGTAGCAACTGGTCCCTGAGCAAGTATCTTCTCTATTGTTACATTTGAGTAAAAATTAGCTGGAGAGCTGGTCTAAGGCCAACTGTAAATTTAGCATTATTTTATTTAGCAAAAAAAAAAAAATTAAAATAAAAAATAAATAAACAGACAAATCACGCACAAAGGAAAGCCACCATTCTTCCACCAAAGGAAAGGAGACGCAAGCACCTTGGAAAAAGCATGTAAGCACAGCCATCATCATGAGAACGCAATTATCATTCCATCCCTGATCGAAATCATTCTGCTTTCCAAAAAAATTAAACCTGTCATTGGCATCCAGTGATTTAACACTGATGAAGTCGTTTTCCACTTACTACTACTAGCCTGGATTGTTCACTTACATGTCAAGGAAAATACTCTTTAAAATTGATATATATATATATATTTCCAAAGACATTTCCTTCCGTAATGGAATACGGAACTTCTAATCTGGCAAGAAAATATGTATTTGCAGAGGCTTCCATGAAAATTCTTACATTCTTAATTTGGGGATGTATTTTTGAAACTCGAATTTTTTTTCTTTAAATCTGGAAATAAGGGATGGGTGCAGCCACGTGCCATACGCGCGCCCCACTCCACCCATGCCACAGACAAACACACCCACCCACACACACCTTCCCCTCCATCTACACAGGGAAATCCAGCCTGAGGACTTTCAGGATTGCGGTCCATCCCTTCCCACAGCCAAGGAAAGGCAGGAAATCACTGCCCACTCCCCAGATCTGACCCTAGAAAAAAATGCAGATTTCTCAGCCATGGGATCGCTTCTCCACGATCTGCCGCCCTCTAGGAGAATCGCTGAGCCTCTCCATTCAAACGGCGCAGCTGTCTTCACAGCTGAGGCTGGCTTTGTTCTGGTGGCAAGTCAGGTCTGCGCGCCCTGGTCATTTCTCGCGCAGCAAGGCACCCACCCGCCATGTGTTGCGCACGCACTCCTGAGTTGCCCGCAGAACGCCTACACAACCTGCAAATGCTGCCTCGTCGGATAACTAAGTCTCCCCAAACTTTCTTTTTTTTTTTCTTTTCTCTCTCTC